ACCTTATATTTATGAAGTGGTATTAGTTTTTGACTGAAAATGACAATGAAAATTTCTCTGTACAACAAAACTGATAAACAGTGAATACATTTAAGGAAAAATATCAGTAAACCTACTATAAATATTAGACAGATATGGCTAAAATCAAGATGGTAGAATATGAAAGCCAGAAGTATGAGAAATACTCAAGACAATGGTTATCAAATCTTGTTACACCATCATTTAAAATCTGCTTAAAAATAGGAAAGTTAAGCATTACCAGAACTGAACTGTTGTTCAGGACTTTGAAGGGCTGGCCTCTCTCTTGACTTCTAAGAATCATTCAGGGTGCTGGAAGCAAGTAGCAAGTTTACCCTCTACACATTAAGGGTTGCCTGAGGCTAACTACTAGGAGCCTGCTCCTCACTTCTCCAACTCTTTAGTGATGCAAATTCATCCTTTTACTTATCCACATGCCCTCAAGGACCACTTAGTTTCTCCACTTTCCTCCATCAAAGCCTATCCTTAGATCCTCTATTAACACTAAGAGACAAAGGCTTTGTAACTGCATAGTTTGCTGCTGAACTCAGCAGTGTTTGAGTTTCCACAAGGATCAAAGCATAAAGGTGCAAGATGTGTCTCTCAGGCTGTCCTAAAATTTTAGACTCTTTTTAGCAGATGGGAAATCATATATTTTATGCAATTTTAAACTTCAGAAAATAATTCATCTTTCATAGTAGTATAAGACTTGCCTAGCTAGTCAAAAATACTTTGTTGCTCCGAATAAATCTGTGAGGCTGATTCTCCTATCTCTTAGGAGATAACTGTTAACTAATGACATCCCTTTCCCCTATACTCCTGCCTCCTACAGTCCAGCTAATATTTTCCAAGTTATGATTTTAGCATCATGAATGTAAAAGCAAAATATCTAGACATTTGCTGAAAATGCAGATTCCTAGGCATTCCCCAGCCATTTCAATTGGAATATGAGCAAATGGGGCCTGAACAAGTGAATCTAAAGATGTTCCTCTAAGTTATTCTCATGCAAGGTAATATTTGAGAGTCCCCACTATCAAGGCCAACTTTTTATAACACAGATCAGTAAAGCCCATAGCTACACTGCTTCCCAGAGGACTAAATTAAAATGTCTGGCTTTTCTGACTTCTACATTTTAAGGGCTGTTATTGTTTTTTCATTTCTGTGTGTTTAGTTGCCAAACTAAAGGAAAAATAAATAAATAGGTAAAGAAATAAATAAGGAGAAGAGAGGCAAGAGGGAGGAAGGAATGGTGACCAGGGTTGGGGTGGGCAGCTGGGTACTGTGGCCAGCAGCTGCCTCACAGAATTTGAGACAGAATGGGAAAAATCCTTGGCCTGGTGCAGCCTCTGTCCTTGCTCCTGAGCCGTGTCTGAGCATGCAGCTATTTTGTCGCCGACCAGTTAGTGCTCTGATGGGGACACACACACAGTGCCACTGTTGACCTGACCCCCCAGCACTTCCAGAATGTGCCTCCTCCGACAGCTGGTACCATCTGGAGAGCTTGGCAACAGAACAGCACTCGGTTTCTCCTTTGATTTTACAGCTCTTGCTTTTCATTTTTGTCACTTCAAAAGTGAGGAAGTTTAATATGAAATGCGATGTCTTAATTTGCTTTCATTCCTAAATATAAAGAATAAGGGCAAAAAAGGCCAAGAAATATGATACATGTTTTTTGTTTGTTTTGTTTTTAACAATTGATAGGAACAGATAAAATACAAATTCTTTCAGGTCAGTGAGAATGTCCTTTCTCACAACATGCATTTTGGTCTGAAGTCTGTGGACACATGTCACAACTGCAGCAACGTATCTCAAACTTGAAACTTAGAACTGGAAAAGTGTCATTTGATGCAATTAAGGAAGAGCAGAAAGTACATGGTCTGAAAAAGGTGGTGCATGTACTTGCAATACCTGTAAATTCAAGTATCTGTTCCAAATATCTTTTTTAAAAAAATACCATTTTCCCCCTGTAGGACAAAATACTTCTCACTCAAATGTGAAAGATTATTTTCCAACCCCAAATGGACCCATAGCTTCAAAGGCACAGGTGGATTTGTAGACACAGATGCTCTTCAACAGAAGGTTGCTATGTGTAAAATGTTGAGAACAACAGAAGCAGAATTAAGTGGAAGTACTGATATGGTGAATTATCACGTAGTCCTTGTGATCACCTTTGTGAAACTACTTAGTGACTTGGGAAAGTACTCATGATCTAATATTAAGGAGAAAAGGCAAAATGCAAAAACTGTATGATTCAAATACTTTTTATAAGGACATATAT